AAGATCTTCTCTATATCCTCCACCCACCTCAGGGCTCCTTTAGGGTCAAACTTCCCTTCAAACTTCGAAGGGCTGTGCCTAGTGAAGGCAGACAGCCCTCGGTATTCAGTCGGCTCCACATCTTGGTTGTGCACTAAGGCCTCTAAAACTTGGGTCATTCGCTCTAAGAGGTCATTGGTGACTCCAACTCCTTTACCTCTACTGGCCATTTTTAATCTAATGTAGCAAACAATTCAACAAACCATATTCAACAAGTCAAATTAATAACAACCTTTATAATTCAGGCAAACAAAACACATCAACACATAGCTTAGACGCTTCAGCCCCAATACTCTAGTTCTGTTTGGATGAATTGCTCTGATACCAAAATTGTAACACCTTAACTTAATTTCTAAATAATTTAATTTATTAATAAAATGGAAATAATAAAATTTTCATTCAAATTATTCCCAATACATAGTTTCAGTAAAATATTTCAAAATATGGGAGGGTTACAACTTTGCATCAAAATAAATGCTACAAGACTAATTTGAAATACATCACAATTTTCAAAATAATATCCTAAGCCTTATAGCAGTTTCATCCCTTTTGTTCATTGAGTTTGGTGCTGATCATCTTAGTTAACTGAAAAATAAATGTAAGGATGAGTACTCTATACTATCAACACACACAAGCATAGAGACTCACCTTACATATTCCACATGTTTCTAACATAATTCATAATATAATTTAATTCATTAATTGAACAACCATAAGTCAATTTATTACATCAATACGCACATCAAGTCACATCAATTTACACACTAGTGCGCTCATTGCACCTCAATCAATCCACAAACACACGTGCGCTCATTGCATGTTAGCCATGCTCATTGTGACACTGTGATAACAATTTCCTGATGCTCTCAACCTCAGGGATTTACTTAGTTTCACACCATGAATGGTCATCAGTTAGCCTCTGCCTCATGAATACAACATGAGTGGTAACGGGCCCCTTAGCAAAGGCGTTAGTTAGATGTCAAGTCAGAAGGAGAGTATGTGGCCTGTGGTGCACCCACGTTCACTGTTGGTGTCACCATCACTCTTTCTTCTCCAAGGTATTTCTACAGCCCCCATCTTCCACACCCTCAGTGTATCACTGTAACCATTCATAGTTTTCAACATTTTACAATCACAATCACACTCGCATTTTTATGCCATTTCCAAACACATTTATTCACATCCCCAGTCACATCATAGTATTCATTTTCATCAAATGGCATGTATGCATATGTTCAACCACATTATACTCAAACACATAATTCCCATCACCATTATATCATAAATAACACATTTCATCACACATCATGCCCTTTATCAATTGCATTGCATTCCACACAAAGTTTCTATTACAATCCAATCATAATCAAATCATTCTCATTAAATACACATCTTTCTACATTTTATCCTAATCACATTGCAATACATAGCACAATAAATGAATTCTAAGTACAATGAGATAGGGTAAAGTATCCCCCTTACCTCAGATTGAAGACCCAACACAAAATCGACAATAGAAACGGTCCCCACATGGATTTTCATCCTAAACACATGAAAAATTTCATGAGAAACCGAGAAAATGAAAGAAAGGGATGAAAACTAAAACCCTAACTGCAACCTTTAATCTTGCTTAGAAACGGCTTTGGAGGCAGTTTAATCGGTGAAATAGGGTTAGGAATTGAGAGAATCAAAAGAGGGATGAAGAGAAAGAGTGGAAAATGAGTTTTTCGAATCCTAAACCCCTCAAATACCTTAGGAGTTGCGACACTGCAGTGAGGCATCTCTTGCTACAGTGAGACCCCTTTTCGCTGCAGCGAAAATCTCAGATGAATCTGTACTCTGGTTTCTGCAGAATCTCACTACAGCGAGACCCTCTCGCTACAACGAGACCTTCTTACTACAACGAGACTACGTCTAAAAATGCACCCTTATCTATTGTCCTCTCGCTACAGCGATGAGATTCTTGCTGCAGCGAGAACACAATAGATTCATGCCCTACGCTTATGGCCTTCTTGCTACAGTGAGAACGCACTTACAACACACACTTAGCCTATTTCTCAATTAGTTTCAGCCAAATCACAAGTCCACACTGACATTTCAACCATGATATACAAATATATACACATCCATATGTATTTACACATATATTCACGTCACCACACAAGTCAAATGCATATTCAATAGTAGTTCGCATATTTATATTAGTAATCAAATAGATTACAAAACTCGGAGCATTACAATAATAATTTGTTGTGTTAGATCCATAATAGTTTGTTCACTTTATCCATCTAGATTCCATTATACTATGTCACTTCCTCCATAAGAGTTTTGTACAAAATTAGGTCTTTGTTCTAATAAAACATCTGGTAATGTTGACCTGTTATAGTATAGTTTAATTTTTGGATAAGTATTATTAAAATTTATTTTATTTATCTTTGAAACATTTTCTATTGTATTGACTGAGGGTCTTTCTATAGTTAATTTTGTTATTTTTCTATTTAATTCTTCTATGTCTAATTCTAAACCTCTTTTTTAGTTCAAATTGTTTCATAGTTTCTAGTGAAAAGGCTATTATTTTGTACACTGATTTTTCTAAATAACTAAGAATTTTATTACTAGATTTTGATTTTGAACTACTACTTCCTTCTTCTTTTTGTTCTATTCTGGTTAAATATTTTGTCATAACTCCTAATACTGTGTTTGAATAATTTAATTGTAGATATATTTTATTAATTTTATCTATATTTTTATCAATTAAATTTGTTTTTTTTAGATGGGTTTGCTTCTATTTCTTCATTTTCTATTTTTAATTTAATCTGTTCTATTGGGAGATGTTCTGATTCTAATGTTTTTCCTAATATTTTTTCATGTTTTAGAGATTTTTTATAAATGATTTATTTATTTTGTGTAGAAATATTCTATATTATTTTTTAAACATTATTGTTCTAACATGGTAAAAAGTAAGTATTTATTTCCATTTCTTCTAGATAATTATAAAATTTTGTTCTAATTTTTATTCTTTCTTGTTCTAAAAATTTATTAAAAAACCATTCTTTTAATTCTTTATCATATTCTATGTCTATTTCAGCTTTTATCCATAGTTTAAATATTTTGAACGATTCTACTTTGGTTATTGTATTAAGTATCTGAGATTTTGTTGGACTATAATCACTATCGTTTTCTACAGATTTATAGATTGGTATTGATATTCCTAATTTTGATATATTATTTAATCTTTTTAATTCTATTGTTGAATTATCTACAAAGTATCTTGGAAGCTCTCTTAGAATATGGGGTTTTGTTATTCTGATAGATGAAAACCTATTCATCATTAGTCTTATTTTTCCATCAGATTCTATTATGTCTCTTATTTCTATATTAATAACTTTCTCGTGATTTTTAATATTTTCTAGTTCCAGGAATTGTTAATTCATCATGTCTTAATTTTTTAGGTGTTTGTACTAAACTTCTTTGTAAATTAGCTTGTATAAATATTGTTTCACTTGAAGTCTTGTAAAGAGCTCTATAATTGTAATCTACTTTAGTAACTTTGTAATATACCCTGTATATTAAATGAAAAGAATCATATGAATTGTCTACTATATTGTTTGATGTTTTAATAAAAAAAATTTATTGCTTTTGATATTTTTTCATTATTAAGACTCAACAAAGTTGGAAAAATAGTTAAAAAAAGCTAGTCCATCATGTAAATTTGTTTTTAAAGCCGCTTTATTGAATCTTATACTTTATTAAATTTCATATCTCTTAATAATACAAGAATAGAAAAGTTTATTCCTAATCTAAAGTTTGATTTTACTGCTAATTGGATTAACCCTAAATGAATAAAGTTAAATCCATCTTTTTTTATGTTTTTCTAATAAACCATCTTCTAATAAATGTATATCATTTTTACCTTGAGTTCCTGGGTATGAATATTCTATTTTATGAATTTGTTCACTATTATTAAAATTCTACAAAGTTCTTTTACTGTAAACTTCTTTTTCTTTTATTATTGGTATTGACAAGTTATAAAGATTGCTCTATTTCTTTTATAGTAATCTATTGTGGAACTGATTTAGAGGTTGAACTAGAGGTTGAGATTCCCTCCTCATTCATTTTTTTTTACTATTTGGTTCTCTTTCTAAGTTTAATTTACTAATCGTTCTTAATAAACTAGTCATTTTTTAAGACTCTTGTACTACCAAACATGGTTGACCAATGTCTAAACAACTCGCTCTGCTACACTTGGACACTCTTTTCTTAAAAACAAATAGTTTACAGGAACTCTAAGGAAATTATCCTGAAAAATTTATAACCTCTTAGTATTAAGAGAGATGAAGTGATGATTTTACCTTACTTCCCCTCTCTCTATATATAGTTAGTGTGTGAAATTTTTTTAATTATATAAGACAAAATATTTAAATTTTTTTATACTATTCTTTTCTTAATATTTTTCTTTATAACAAATAAAAAAATTAGAAAAAAAAACAAGTCTTTTTCTCCTTTTTATTTTTTTCTCATTAAATTTTTTCTCTCATAAAAAAATACACAATAAGTCAATAAATAATAAATTTTAAGTTTATTATATTTTTTTATTAAATGGCAAGTCATTTTTTTATTTTACATTATTATTTTTTCTTTTTATCCATTCAAGCACATATACTATTGACAAATTTTAAAGTAGATTGAAACTTTTCATATAAAATAAAAGGAATTATATTATTTATACAAATACTTGTCTACACCGTTCTTTCTATACTTTTATTTTTTTCTTTCTTTTTATTATAAATAAATAATTATACAAATACCTTATTAATAAAAAATAAAAACCTATTTTTCTAAATAAAATTTCTTTAACACGCGAAATATAGTGTGAAATGGATAAAAAAAATAGAAAGAAAAAAAAATAATTATAAAAAAATAGTATAATAGAAGAGGTCTTTTTTTCTTCAATCAAGTGGCTTGCACTTGTGCTTGCAACCAACCCAACGATAATTAGAAATCAAACCCAAAATTGGGGTAAAATGGATTTACATGCACTCCGCATATCACATCCATTCATGCTTGCAAACAACTCTACCTCTCTCTGGAACCTTCGGTCTCTCTCCACCAATCCTCGCAATCGCAGGTGGTTGAAGGTGGAAGCCACCAACAACAAGGCTTTCGACGAGGCGGCTTTCGAGGCGCAGCGACTCGCCCTCGACGCCGAGGCTCGCCGAGCCATGGCTGAGGCTTCCGACCCTAAGGCTTGGAAATGGGTAATCCGAAAGAGAATATGGGATACCATGGAAACCCGCAACTTCGCCATTAACCCCCGACCCGTTCACCACCGCATTCCCAATTTCGTTGGCGCTTCCCTCGCTGCTGATAAGGTTTTCTTTTCTCAACACATTATGCACATGTCGTTTACATTACTAAGAAACATGCAGAAGTAACTAAAAGCTGTCAGTAGCTGTATAATTATCTGGTATGATCAACTTAAACGTGATAAATGACTAAAAACTACATGCAATTGATGTGTGTGTAAATTATTTAAGCTAGTTTTTTATTTTTATTTTTAAAACTACATGTTTTTCTAAAGTTAGCTTTTAAAAGTTACAAACTTTATCTCACCATCACCAAACACACTCAATATCATGTTACGAATGAAAGAGTCATCAAGTCGAAAGTTAAAGGTTGAAAAATGCACGTCTGGTCTCCGTAATTGAAACTCATTTATGAAGCAGTCTCTGCACAAAAGAAAAATGTAGATTTTAATTCTTATACGTGTGTGTCTACATGCTTTGATTTTTGCCATTTTAGTACTGTTAGAAAAATGCTGATGTGATTCAGCAAAAGTAATTTAATGGACAGTAACTTTTTCTAATGATGTTAAAACGACAAGAATTAAAGTGTAATAAAACATCTGTGTAGAAACTAACATATAAGTTTTTATAGTAGAGAGAGTAATTGATAGCAAACCATTAATAAAGCAAGTATATATTAAAAGGATTAAAAAGGGTGGGGGGGGGGTGCCAGAACCCAACTAACTAAATTAGTTGGAGGTGGTTAGTAAGAAATAATTTATGAAAAGAATATGATAGGATAGAAGGTAGGGAGGAAAAGGATTGTTGTAAGGTTGGGGATAGTCCAGGGTCTCTCAAATACCCTGTGAACAGTGTAGCATTTTCCTTTTGTTTTCCATCTATATTGAACCATTTCTAACAACTGGCATCAAAGCTCTACTTTCCTGGGCATGATTCATGGTGGGAACAAGAATGAAGGGACAGGTTTGCGACTTTGTGGTGAAGAGGAGTTTATCAGAGTTACGACAGCAAGGAGAAGAAAAAGTGAGTGACGTTCTTTAATTGAAGCATGTATTTGTGTCACCAAAAACAATGTACAAGAAATCTTGTGGAGGCTGGGAGCATGGTAGTCAAGATTGAGATTCTACTTAGGATTGAAGAGTAGATGAAAGATCGTAACTCGGAGGATCGTAACACGAATCGTAAGATCTTATAAAATTGTATAAATGCATGTAAAATAGTATAAATATAAAGACTAGAGAAGCTAAACAAAGACAAATGAGGGAAGGGAGCCGCCCCATCTCAAAACAGAGACAGGGAGGGAAAAGATGGATTAAGTAATGTATTCTGATGGAAAGACTATTTTATCCTTAAAGAAACTTAAAACAAAGTCACTTTAAGGGAAAAAAGGGAAAGTCAGATTATTTTTAATAGATAAGAAGTCTTTTTTACCCTTAAAAACCCTAAAATCTGCTTCATTCTGGGGATAGAAAGGGAAAGTTGACACCTTTTACTCCAGTGGCACTGTTGCACTGTGAATTAGGCTACGATGGCTGCAAATACTGTTGTGGTGGTAGCCAGCGTAGAGCAGAGTCACTGGCACAGGCAAGGTTGCAGAGCAGACATAGTCATTGGAGCAAAAGCTATAGGGATCGCAGAGCAGAGGAGCAAAGTCATGAAGTCTGGGTCAATTGGGTTTTTTTGAAAAAAAAAAAATGGGGTAGAAGCAACTCGCCCAGGATCGCACGATTCCATGAAAACGCGTCCTAGCCCAGGATCGGGATCGTTGGACCTGCGGCAAATCGTAAAATCTTATCGTAAGATACAATATCTTACGTGTTAACTCGCAATTTTGACTACCATTGCTGGGAGAGATTCAAGAAGGCTTAAATTGCAATTCAAATAAGGATGCGGGAAGAGAAAACAAGGGTGAAGAAGAGGACAGGAAAAAGAAGAATGATCAATGGAGAAAACTTGAAATCCCAATTTTTGAGGGAGAGGATGCATATGGTTGGGTTAACAAGATCGAAAGGTATTTTCAGTTACGTGGGGTGCTAGAAGGAGAACACATGTTAGCAATCATGGTTGCACTAGAAGGAAGGGTATTAATGTGGTTTCAGTGGTGGGAATCTTCTTTCAAAAGTGTATAATCGGAGCAGTTTTGGCAAGCAATCAGTCGGCAGTTCCAACCCTTGATGATGCAGAATCCATACAGATTAAAACATGAAAACACTGTACACAAATACTGTGAACAATTTGAGATATATACGAGACCGCTAAGAATCACTGAACAAGAATATTTGAAGGGAATTTTTCTGAATGGTCTCAAAGAAGAGGTGAGGGCTGAATTTAAGTTACACTCGATGGGATTTGCAGAAATGGCACAATTTATCGATGAAAAAAAATCAGATAATCTTGAGAAAAGGAAGTGTGGGGAATATGGAAGGAGCAAAATGGGGAATCAATAATAGGAGTAATTTGGTTTTAAGAACATATGCAGGAGATTACAGTGGCAGGCTGAAGTTGGGAGGAACAACACTAGGAAATGGGGTTACTCGTGTTGAATCTACAGTACCCAATGGTACAGGTTATGTTCTATCAAGAAACCTTTTGAAAATACTGGAATTAGTCGAAGAGAAAGGAATTTTAAAGAACTGATTGCTGTGGAGTATAATGAAAGACAGAGGAAAGGCCTTTGTTTTAGGTGTCATGAGAAATTTTCCCTAGAGCATGTATGCAAGAACAAACAATTACGGGTCATGCTGTTAGAAGAGGAATTGAAGGAAACAGGGGAAGTGACAAGGAGAAAGAAGGGGATACTACAGAATGGGGAGTAAAATCTATTCAATTGGATCTTAATACTATTGCTGGTCTTATGTCAAAAAGATCCCTCAAGTTGTGGGGATCAATGCAAGGGAAACAGGTGTTGACTTTAGTAGATTGTGGGCTTCTCACAATTTCATATCAACACATATTGTGAAAGAACTTAATCTGCCAGTTATTCAAACACCTTAGTATTGGGTAGAGGTTGGAGATGGCCACAAAATGAGCAGTCAAGGGTATTGCAAAGGTTTACTTGTTAAGATACAGGATCTGCTAGTACAACAAGACTTTTACTTGTTTGAGTTGGGTGGTGCAAATTTTGTTCTTGATATGGAATGGTTGGCAGGACTTGGTGAAATCAGAGCAAATTTTGGCAAGCTCACTCCAAGATAAGATACATACTATAAAAGGGGATCCTACCCTTTGTAGATCAGCAACAATGCTTAAATCCATGGTGAGAGAATTACAGGAAAATGGGCAGGGGTTCTTAATTGAGTGCAGAGAAAGGAAAGGTGAAGATGCGGAAACAAATAATATTCCAGAATCATTAAGGGAAGTTCTAGAACAGTTTGAAGATGTGTTTCAACATCATCTAGGATTACCTTCTGACCTTATAGATATCCACTTTATCAAAAGACTGAAATAGAAAAATCGGTGGTAGAAATGTTACAAGCTGGTTTCAGTCCGACCTAGAGTGAGTGCTTTTTCTAGTTCCATTATTTTGGTTAAGAAAAAAAATGGAAGTTGGCAATTCTGTGTGGATTACTGAGCTCTAAACAAGGTTATTGTTCTTGATAAATCTTCAATTCTAATTATTGATGCATTACTAGATGAGTTAGCAAGAGCTGCCATTTTTAAATTAGACCTTAAATCTAGCTATCACTAGATAAGGATGAAGGAGACAGACATTGAGAAAACAACTTTTAGAACCTATGAAGGCCATTATGTATGGCTCGTGATGCCATTTGGTCTTACTAATGCACTATTTACATTTCAAGCCGTAATGAATGCTATGTTGCAACCTATTTTGAGAAAGTTTGTGCTGGTCTTCGTTGACATACTTATTTTAGCAAGGATGAAGAAAGTCATGTTAATCATTACAACATGTTTTCCAATTGCTGCGGGTTCATCATTTGGTGGCTAACAAAAACAAAAGTAGTTTTCGGGTGCGATAGGTGGAATACCTAGGCCATGTTATCTCAGCTGATGGAGTGGCCACTGATCTAAACAAAATTGAAGTGATGGTGGACTGTACTAGTCCCAAAGACGTGAAGGGATTATGAGGTTTCATGAGACTCACAGGGTATTATAGAAGATTTGTCTAGAATTATGGAAAGATAGCCAAACCACACACAAAATTGCTGCAGAAAAATAATTTTCACTGGTCAGAAGAAGCACAACAAGCCTTTGAAGCATTACGATCAGCTATGACATATTAGCTGTCCTGGCTGTTCCAGACTTTACCAAACCATTTATGATAGAGATTAATTTGGGGGGGGGGGGGGTGGTGGTGTGTGCTAGGTGCTGTTTTGCTGCAAGGGGGGCGCCCAATAGCTTTGCTTCGTCATTCCTTGTCAGAAAAGCTCAATGGAAGTCAATATATGAAAGGGAACTAATGGCCATTGTTTTTGTTCAAAAGTAGAGACACTATCTCATGGGCAGGCACTTTGTAATTCTAACTGATGAAAAAGGTCTCAAGTTTCTGACTGAAAAACATATACTGGGTGAAGACCAATACAAATGGACAACTAAATTATTGGTTGGGTTTTGATTTTGAAATCAGTACAGACCAAGAAGTGATAACAAGGTGGCAGATGCTTTATCCAGAAAAATGATATATTCAACCATCTCCTCTATTGGCTTTGATGAGTTGGACAAATTAGAGGGTCAAATTCAAAGGGATTTCAGGTTGCAGCAGTTATGCAAAGATCTAATAGCAGATCCTAGTTCACACAAAGGTTATACCTTGCAACAAGAGAGACTTTATTATAACAGTTGACTGGTTATTCCAAAAAGTTTCACTCACATTCCTTTGTTACTGGCCTAGTTTCACGCATCAGAGTTGGGAGGTCATTCTGATCTTTTTTGAACATATAAAAGGCTGTCAGGAGTAGTTTATTGGAAAGCCATGAAGGGCAACATTCAATAGGTATGAAGTGACATCTCCATGGATTTTATTATGGGCCTCCCAAAAGCTAGAGGAAAGGACACCATTTTCGTGATTGTTGATGGGTTATCCAAATATACACATTTCTCTGCTCTAGCTCATCCACTCACAGCAAAGGATGTAGCACAACTCTTCATTTCAGAAGTTGTACAGTTGCATGGATTTCCCACATCCATTGTTTCAGACAGAAATCAACTCTTATAAGTCAGTTTTGGTCAGAACTTTTTCGACAAGTTGAGACAAAGTTGAAGTACAGTTTGGCATATCACTCTCAGACAGATGGCCAAACATAAGTGGTAAATAGGTGCTTAGAAACCTATCTAAGATGCTTTGCTGGATCAAAACCCAAGCAGAGTTAGGCTGAATTTTGGTACAATACCAATTATCATAATTCTACTAGAATGATTCCTTTTAAGGTGGTGCATGGCAGGGACCCTCCCATCCTTTTCAGAGGCACTACATATCCTTCTAGCATTGATGCAGTTGATCAATTGATTACAGATAAAGACCTTTTGTTGGATGAGTTGAAGCCCAATTTAACACAGGCCTAGCATTAGATGTAGGTACAAGCAGATAAGAAAAGATAAAGAGTTGGTTTTTCATGAGGGAGATTGGGTTTATTTAAAAGCCCAACTCTACAGATTGAGGACTTTAGGTTAGAAACAAAATGAGAAGTTTAGTCCAAGGTTTTATGGATTGTATCCGATTGTCCAAAGTATTGGGGAAGTTGCATATAAATTACAGCTTTCAGCCACTTGTTAAATTCTCCCAATTTTTCATATCAGCAAGCTGAAAAAGGCTATACCAGCAACACATCAACCTCAACCACTGCTAGAGGCCCTAACCAAGGATTGGGAATTGCAATCACAACTAGAGGATTTATTGGCTCTTTGCCATAATTCTTGAGGGGAAGTGGAGGCTTTGGTCAAATGGCATTGGTTACCAACTTGTGAAAATTCTTGAGAATCTTTATCGGCTCTACAACAACAATTTCTTACCTTTCACCTTGAGGACAAAGTGCATGCTTTGGGGGGGTCAGAATTCGACTAACTAAATTAGTTAGAGGTGGTTAGTAAGAAATTGTATATAAAAGGAAATATGATAGGATAGAAGGTAGGGATGAAGTGACGTGATCATTGTAAGGTTGGGGAGAGTCCAGGGTCTCTCAAACACCCTGTGAACCCTATAGCATTTTCCTTTTGTTTCTAAGGGGCGTTCTTGTGAATAAAATAAATCAATTGTTTTGTTTTCCATTTATATTGAACCAAAATAAAATTTATGGATTCTACACAAATAACGGTGGGTGTAACTTTGATTCTTGAGTTTGTCTCCATTATTTTAACATATATGAGGGGAGCAAAACCAAAAAAAAAAAAAAAAAAAAAAAAAAACTAAATTTGGTCTTACTTAAAGTGACTAGATGAAACTAAGTTATTTGATAGCTCTTATTTTATTGATTATGTATACCAAAATTGGAATTAATCTAGCAGTATCAATAGACATTTAAATTGATAGTTGATTGTGTATACTAAACATGAGGTCAATTTAGCATTGATAGACATCTCAATATTTGATATTTACTCATATTTTGAATGAATTTTATATGTAAAAATAATGTAGTTAAATGAAATAATTTTTAAAAATTTTGTGTGTGTATTCAATAGTATAAGTGTAACAGGACTTACTTCTCAAGATTCTTCTTCATTGGTGGTGTGAAAGTTTAATGTTGTGTGTTGGGGTGGGATGGGAGATGAGTGCACACTTAGAATTTGAGTAGAATGCTTTGTTGTGGGTTTTGGCAGATGAGGGAGCTAGATGTGTTTCAGGTTGCACAGTGTGTGAAGGTTAATCCAGATTCTCCTCAGAAACAAGTCAGGTTTCTCACTCTCTCAGGTCAGACTTCATTTGGGGTTTGTTTCTGTGAGTTGGGAGGGAATGTTATTTATGAACAAGTTGTGTGATTGGTGCCTTATTGATTTTGTTGCTAACTTTCTCATTTTGAGATGTGTTGGTATTAAAGGAAGCTGAGAAATAGCAAGAGAATTAAAGCATTTGAAAAAAAAAAAATTATATGCTCATAGTCATAATAAGTGGAAGAGTAATGCTATTAATGCTCACATTCACAGTCATACACAACTCGCACAAGTGGTTCCTTCTAAATCTGGGTCTGTTTCAACTTTGTCATGTTAATCTCAGGTGTTGAACAGCTGCATACAATTGTGACTGCAAGAGTAGTTTAGATAGCGGCATTGTTCTAACTGTAAGATATCAAAATAGAGAGCAAAGACTACTTTGCAGTTTAAGTAGTTCAAAGTGTAATTAGATACATGAACCTGCATGCAGAACAGCACTAGGGGGTTGCATGTAAGTTCAGGTGTATACGCCTGAAGCTTAACTTCTCCGTAAAAACTTGGTGTCACTTGCAAAGTTGTGTAAGTTTGTGATTTGTGCATCTAAGAGTTGTGCTGCAGGCATTACTCAAGGAAGTAAATATTATCCCTTGGGGTTATTAATTTTGATTGGGAATTGGTATGTCCCTGTTACAATAAACTAATGAAATTTCACCTGATATCCCTCCTTTTTTTTGACCATACACAGCAAGGTTGTTAAACTCGAGAGTTTAAGTAAACTTGTGAAGTGCTTGTAAAATTTGACTAGTAAACTCATGAGTTTACCTCATGCAAAAAAATATTAAAAAAATCAAAGTAATGAAGCAAAACACAATAACAAAGTTAAAAACACACAAATACAAGTAACTTTGGAGGTTGAATGTGGTTGTTTTCCTTCACAAAAAATCCGCGGCTGCAGGAAGTTCTGTGTTCACACAAACCAGTTGAAGCTTGGAGGTTCTGCTTGCAGTTTGCAGAATGTCACTGGTGTTGTTGCTCGAGGTTATGCTTGCTGTTCAGAGTGTTGCTGGTGCCACTGTTTGTTTGTTTGTGATGGAGGGTTAGACACAAGGGAGCTGTGGGTTGTTTTGATTTGCACTCAAAATGGTAATCCTAACAACAGGGTTCAAATGCTGTGTTCAGCAAAACTTGGGCCTTTAAGCTGAGTCGCTGACTCATAAACTTGGTGGGTAGATTTGTGAGTTCAACTGAGTTCAGCCAAAAATGAGTTTAGTGTTTATCCAACACGTTATGCTTTCTAAGATCGTAAACTTGTATGATTTTACAAGTTAACAAGTGATTTTAACAACCATGCTACTCAGACCTCTCTTAATTTATGTAACAATATAACATGCATATCCATTTCGATTATACAAACCACACTTATTTTCTTAAATAGTCATATGAATTAGGGGATGTCAAAGTAATGTTAGAAAAGGGACGAGTATTAGGTGAAATTTGGTTAAATCTCGGGCTGTGAATGTAATTTTCCCTAAACTATAATTAGTTTTGCCAATAATTTATATATGATTTTTATTGTGTTGGAAATGACATATAACCATGTACCAAGAGAAGTATTTTGGAAAGCTTTAGAAAGGAAAATGGTTTGTGTAGCATATATTTGGGTTATAGAACACGTGTATAAGGGAATAATTACATGTGTGAGAATTCCTAGAGATGTATTTAAGGACTTTCTTATAAGAATAGGTTTATATCAAGGTTTCACCATGAGATTTTATTTGTTTAACCTAGTTTTAAATGTATTTACAGGTGATATACAAAACATTATCCCTAATTGCATGCTGTTTGTAGATGACATATAATTGGTTGATAAATCAAAAGAAATTAACATTAAACTTGAGTTACTGAGGATGACTTTAGAATCTAAGAGTTTTTGCTTGAGTAGAAATAAGACAAAATATATACATATTACAATTTTAGCAAAAAGCAAAATGAGAACCATGCGTTGAAAATTAAAATTGAATATGATATTATACTATAAGTCTCCAAGTTCAGGTACTAAGATTGATTTTAAAGAACGATAGAGAAATTAATTAAGATGTTATTCATAGATCACAACTTGGGTAGTTGAAGCAATGGAAGGTATGAGGAGTTATTTGTGAATGTAAAGTACTTATTAAACTCAAATGAAGGTCTTATCTTATGGTAATACAACCAACTATTTTACATGATAATGAATGCTTAGCCTTAAAAGGCAACATGAAAAAAGGTGGGTGATAGAAATGAGAATATTAAGGTAGATAGTAGTCACATAAGAGATGACAATATAAAATATGATCATATTTTTGAGAATATTGAAGTAATACTTATCAAGAAAAACATAATAGAAAATCATCTACAGTAGTTTGGTTACGCGGAGAGAATGTCATTGGAGTTACTGGTGAGGAGAGTGGATGATATAACTTATAATTTTTTAGAAAAAAAGTACAGAAAAATCTATAAGAACTTTAGATAGAGTTATTAAAAGAGTTTAATGATACTGTGTGATCCATATAATTGACTTCACATGATTGGATAAAATTTGATTGTTACTAAAATAGAGCTTTTGATCAATTTAATAAAATCAGTGATTTTTATCAATACACTACATGGGTTTTATTAAATTAAAAATAATTGTTTTAAATAAAAGATTTAACACATGTTATATGGTTATTTTAAATTTAATAAATGTTGTAAATTTAAAAATGAACATATATTTTATTATATTAAGTGAGACTAAATTAAATAGATAGAATTTTTAAAACTAAAAAGTAAATTATAAAAAGGTTAAAATCAAAATTGAAAGATGATGAAATTAAAAAAATGGTCTAATTATGTTTTTATCCCTATAAAAGTAACATCTTTTGGAATTAGTCTTTAAAAAAAATTGTTAAAATTTAGTTCATAATATTTTTAAAATATTTGAAATTAGTTAATTGTCATATGTCATGTATTAAGTGATGAGTTGGGTAATGGAGTTTCATCTCATCATTGCTACATCATCATTATTTTAAATATTTTATTATTTTAAAAATTAATATTTGAAAAAAAAAAAAAGTCCTCCCAACCTTTTTCCTCATTTCTACTTCTTCCCCGTAACATAGCCTCTTACTCTCTCAATATCCAAAATCCATTCATCTTTCCTCCAATTAACGTTTCCAGCTTCCACCAACCCAATAACCAAAATGGAAACATATAATTTCCATGCAATTTTGCAGTGACATTGAAGCTTATTTCGATGCACAAAACAACAAAATCACCATCATGTTTTGAGGCCAGGTTGAGGGTGGACAAGCATTTGGGTAGAAGTTGGGTTTTGTGGAAACTGGTGAGTGTAATGAAAAGCGAAGGTTTATAGATAGAGAAAGTTTAGGAGGGAAAGTGTTGATGGAACCCAAATTGTATAGAGAGAAAGTAGCATTAAGGGATTGAGAACAACTGCTTTGGCGAAGATTCTGTTTTCCAGCTGCTTCATCCCATAGACCAGCAGCATCAATCCCTTTTAGGGGTCAAATAATATGTTTTCTTCTGAGAACTCGCTCGATATTGAGTGTCAGTTCCTCGTTCTGGAGCTGCCTACTTTGATCAATTAGCCAAAATTTTGACCAGATATGAATTCACTGGTGCTCGTTCTAGTGGTATTTTTTGGGGGCAGTCCCTGTCTCTGAGCTTAGTTGCAAGGTCAAGGATGGGGATCAGATGCTTTCTTTTCCAAGAGGAGAGAGGAAGGAAGAAGATGAGCTGAATGCCGGGATGGCCTTAGAAGATGAAGAAATCCCTAGATTTATACCTTGCAATTTTCCGCTTTTTGTAATTTGTTGTTACCTCCAGTCAGCCAGATATTCAATCTTAATGCATGTTATAGGCTTATAGTATTAGCAATTAAAATCCATTGTGGATACTCTTTTCTTTTTATTTTATTTTATTATAGCATCCTCCAGATTCTGTAATGATGTTCTAAGGTACAATCGGATTTACTTGAATAATCTGTTTGATTGTCATCGGGTGTATCTCCTCCCATCTTTGGATGCACACACAGCCTTGGGATGCACTTGTAAGGCTGGTGTTCTTTTCACAGTTTCAGGGTACATAGGTGGTTTGATTGGAAAAAAGAGGTTGAAGAAGATGACAGTGGAGGAAGAAAGGTGTTTAGAGACTTCTTTTTGTAAATACTAATATTTAAACAATAAAATATTAAAAATAAAAATGACATGTGATAGTGATGAATTGGACCTTCTTTATCTAGCTCATCACTTAAGAGATGATAGTTGATAGTAGGGATTGATTTCAAATATTTTGAAAACGTCAGGGACTACATCCTATCATTTTTTTAAGGATTAATTTCAAAAGGCGCTGCTTTTGTAGGGACAAAACACTCAAGTAAAAAAAGAAATGAATGTTCAATGTAAGAGAACTTAGAGAAGTTACTTGACAAAATGAGAAAGAAAATTACCCCTTAAAAATATTCTCGAAGTCTCATACACATTTTATATATAGAGTTATACTATAATTAATAAAATGAGACTTCGAGAATTTAATCAATTCAAGGCTTGTGGTTCTTGTCTTCTCCTTCCCCTTGTGAGACTTTTTCAATCGTATAATCAATATATTGCAGATGGTAAGAAGTTGTTGACTCCTCAGCCACGGCTGAGAACAGGTTTTTTCTCTGCACTTGAATCCAATATGTTAACTTTGGATACCATGAAGGAAGCCTGCACTTCTGTTGGCGTTGCCAAGTATGGACGGCCCATTGGATTGGATGAAAAGATAAAGGTAGATCTTATTGTTATTGGATCTGTTGCGGTTGACCCAAGTACAGGTGCTCGATTGGGAAAGGGAGAGGTACAGTTACTTGTCAATACTTTTCTAACTATCCTTTTTGATCTCCTGTTCATTTGCTTATGATAGAACCCTTGATTTAGAAAGCAACACAAAGAAATATGCTGTCTACCAATTGAGAAAAAGAAACAACAACCCAGCTAGAGGAGTGGGTTCCTCAGCTAGAACATATGGAAACCACCACACTCCACGTGCACACACACTTATCCATTAAAAGCCTTGAGCTATAAAATCAGATTTATATTTCTTGGCAACCTGTGGGATCAAGGGTTTAAAAGTTTGTTTTAGCATACTACTTGTTTAGATATCATAAATTTCTAGCCAAGGAACTGATAGCCCACAGAAGGAAGCCGACCACAGTCTAGTAGAAAGGCCTCAAATGAAACTAAAAACAAAAAACCATACTTCTCTCGAACATTATAAGAGTGTGAGCCTCAACACAATGGTAGGGTTACGAAGTCATGGGTTCAAATTCTAGAAACATGCTTTTCAGCTTGCAGGGGTGAGGCTGTGTATACCTATTCCCTCCCAAGACTCCATTAAGTGGGAGCCTCATCCACTAGGTTGCCCTCTCTGACATTATATACCAATAAGAATGTACAAAATAGTTAATTTGCCGAGTGACCACTTAATCTATTTTATGGAGTTTGAACTTGAATGTTCCTTCAACTAAGAGGATTGAAGTGCAGGGATTTGCAGAACTTGAATACGGTATGCTACGATACATGGGAGCCATTGATGATTCAACACCTGTTGTTACCTCTGGTAATTTTGGTTCCTGGCCACCCTTTGCCACTTTCCCTTAGCCATTGCCTTAAAAGTTTCTTTTCAATATTTCAAAAACGTAAGCTAGAGTAACTACTTGTTTGACACAACTTGTTTATGGAACCTCAGCCTTTGTTTTTTTAAAATGGAAACATTTCTTTCCTTTATGATAATAATATACCCTGGATTTTTTTTTATTTTTTTTCTGTTCTCACTTATGATTCTCTAGCCCCTATAATAGATAAAGGTTTATTTGGGTTGAACAGATCTACGTTGCGAAGTGTTCTTTTTGTTGATTTTAGAAATTGAAAGTGGGGCAGGGGAAGCACCTCAATGTAAAGTAAAAGTGAAAGTGATTTCCTTGCACCTATACTGACATGAAAACTGAATTCAATGCAATACATCTCACACTCCCTTCATATTGTTTTGTATTGTGTAATCATATTCATTGCACTTCATTGCATATGTAAAATTTTTCAATTTTTCTTTTCCTGGATTATAACATGATGAAACTACCCCTACAGTGCATGACTGCCAGTTGGTGGATGATATTCCAGTTGAAAAACTGTTAATTCATGATGTACCAGTGGATATCATTTGTACTCCAACCGAGGTCATTTTCACGCATACATCTATTCCAAAGCCTCAAGGTTAGTGAAACAATGCCATCTTATCTTGCTTCCTTTTGCAAATAAGGGTGGGTGCTAGTGAGTGAGGATTATCCTTATTTTGTAAATCATTAGATGAGCATTCAAAGATGTATTCTGTGCAGGAGTTCAACCTTGAATGGTGTAGCTTCAATTTCTCTTTCCCTCGTTAGACGTTGTTAACCTATATTTGTTCAAAAACTAACAAACATGGTTACCGCAGGGATTTATTGGGACAAGTTATCTCCTGAGAAGCTGGGACAAATTCGTGTACTAAGGGAGCTTAAAAAGAGGATTGAACAAGAGACTGGACAGAAGCTTCCTACTGGTCCATCAGAGAAACTACCCCCTACTGCTCAACGAAGTCGAAGGGGTTAGCTTTGTAAATGTTAATTTTGATGGGTATATGTATATACCAGAGTTTTTTAGCGACCTATGTGCTAAAAGAATGAAATGTTTAATTTTGATATTGTTTACGTGTATGTAAAGTATTGATGTTTTAGGCTATATGAATACCAAATCTAAAGAAACGCATGTGAGCATTTAATCAATCTGAATATTGCTAACGAAGCCTTTTCAAGCCTAGACTCTGACAACGTGGAAACATTGGAGATACGAAAGACCTCCAGTGAGTAATTTTGAATATTATAAATTCGATTACTTACATGGTTTGTTGTAACTTTTATAAAGTATTATGTATAAGATACGTGCATTGCATGGGTGCTATAAAATTGTATAAATCACGTTACTTTTAAACATTAATTAGTAAGTTATTCATTAATGTTGTATTCAAATATAAATAAATAAACAAATTAGGTATAAAACATTAAGAAAAATAATTGATACAACTGATATTTGTTGTCATATAAGATAATAGGAGAGTTATGTAACAAGTTTATGTAATTCAAATTTAAGTTGCAAAAGCTTATCATTTAATAGTTTGACCCTCGTCTACATTTAGGTGGCATGTACAAGTACAACACCAAACACGCTAATGAAAGACATTTCTTTTCTTATTTTCAATTTTCATTCTAAAGTTTATGTGCATTCTTTTATTATGGTACCGGAGTGGGTCGATGGGATCCGGAGGGAAAGATGGATAGACCTCAAAAAACATTGAGAAGAAGAATCAAGCCTTGGAATTGCCCCAACACGGTTCACTATATCACACCATTTTCACCGCATTTTCTTTTAGTAATGCACCTAGAAATGCTCCTGTGTACCCGTTTATTCTTATAAGTATAATAAAGAATCACTGATCCTTAATTTTGTTACTTAAAGATAGTTAGATCCAACATTTTAGTTTTGAAAATATTTAAAATGTCACGTTATTCTTTAGTTTTTATATTCATCGAACATTTTAGTTTATATGTCTAGACACTGTTAAGTGATGTGTGTACAAGGTAATTGGACATCTATGATGTTTCACATGTTTAAATAATTAAATATAACCAGACAATAGTTATTAGAACTTTTCCCTTTTCTCTTTGAAGAATTCTAATTTTTTTCCCAAATCATAAAATCTAATTTGCAAATTGTAATTGTTGGCATTAGAAAATCTGAAAGCAAAATTTGTTGTCCTCGCAAAAAGGAGAATCATACGAAAGATTCAATATTATTCTTTTTTCTAATTTTTTGTGAAGTATTTTGTTATAATGAACTTGAGTATTAAAACCCTAATTTTTTTGTAAGCCATTAGAGATGAAGACATGCTATTAGTGTTAGGTTTGTTTTGATTGATTAGGTTAATATTGTTTCCTTTCTCCTTCGTTGGTGTTAATGTACTTTTCAAAAAATGATTTTTGTTGCTTTATGAGAAGAAAGTGGTAGAGTAAGTGGAAGTGGTTCCCCTTTTGTATGGTTTTACCCTACTCCTATGTGTGCGTGCATTACTTCAATTGTTTGTTCATTTATGTAATGTGCACTTTAAAAATATTTATGTATTGTCGACTAATCTGACCATTTTGTCTCCATCAATGTAGACAATATTATTTTACATTTACCATTGAGGTAATTTTGTAAAAGAAAATGAGAATAGCAAAGAATACAAGTGGGATAAAGTTGAAGTTTGGAGTGATGTTGATGAAGACATGATAGGCATTTTCAGTTTTGTAAACTTTAGTAAGAAAATGAGGGTAAAAGAGATTACAAAATATTTTTTGGTTGGATCTTGCTAAAGAGTTTATGGAGGATTTTTAACCTATTAAAATATGGTGGTTGTTGTTAAGAGGAATAAAGGAGAAATGCATGTATATTGTGGGCATGAAATTGCAATACCATAACTACTTAATGAGGATGAAATTAAACTACTGGAAGGGAAAGAAGTAGAAGTTAAAGATGCAGTAGTAGAACAAGGCATAGAAGTTGAAGATATAGCAAGAAATAAACAAGTAGAAGTCGAAGTTGATGAGAAACATACAAAGGAAAAGGCAAAGAGGGAAAAAAAAATGCAAGGGTGAGTGTTAAATTAGAAAAGGAACAAGAAAAAAAAAGTAAGGAAAAAAGGAAAAGGAAAGGCAAGGGTGAGTATGCTGAATCAAAAAGGGAAAAGAAACAAAAAAGTAAAGAAAAAGAAAAAGGGAAAGGCAAAAAAAAAAAGACCATAGTTATTAAAGATGGTTTAGATGATAAATATTTTGAAAATATTGTGGAAGATGTAGGTCATAAGGATAGTTACTTGTTACAAAGAAAAGGAGAGCACTTTCAAATTCATGGAGGTTTGAGAAATTGATAACTCCACCAAATTTAAATGATAAAGACAATAAAGAAGATTTTCCCTAATTTATTGAAGTTTCCAAATTTGGAAATGTGAATTTGGAGTTAGGAATGGAGTTTGGAATCCTTTAAACAAGAAGTCAAAGATTATACAATTCAGATTGAAAGAGAAATTAAGTGGGTAAAAAAATAAAATTCTAAAAAAAAATCTTTTAAGATTAGCTTTTGTTTGTGAGACTAACAATTGCTCTCAACCTACAATAGCAACCCATGTCATTTTGCCTTCTATATTGTTGTGGGAACGACCTTGAAGATGAATTCATAAAAGAACTTCTATCACTATTAGTAGCCATTCAAACCGCAGAGAGCCCAATAGTGGAAGGAAGCTAATTAGAGGCGTAAAGTGTAACACCCTAATTTTTTATCATTCTTATCTAAGTAGAGATTCCATTATTCTAATTAAATTTGAAAATAAAAAATAGAGGGGAAATTATAAATTAACTATATAAGTAAAATTGACCCAAAATCAAGCCTAATTTAGGATTGTGAGTTTTAAGTGTAATGTGATCCAATAGGAAAGGGACATTATTTTTATAAAAATCATTTATGATTCTTAGTTATCCAAAGTGAAATATGAAAAGATTGAATTTAGTTTAGAAGAGACAAAAATAGAATTTGACAGTTACAAAACTAGCCTAAAAATAAGAAAAATACCTCAAAATAAGCAATGGTGGCTTTTTTGGACAAGTAAATGAATGAATTGTGATTCAAAATTTTTATGGTATTTAGCCTAGTGAGACAACATCTTGGACTTGTAAATAGAAGTACCAAAAATCCTAAGGAAAAATTGCACAAAATTATACCAAAGAAGCCTTGATTTCATGTGATTTTGGACTAAAAACGCGTGAAAACTTTGGCAACAAACCAAGACCCAATTGGGGAGACTTGTATGGTCGATTTACACATAAATGATAGGCCAAAGTACCACTAATTAATTCCAAACCCAGCTAAAAAGGAAAGAGCCAATAGAAAATAAGATAAGTCAAACAAGGCAATATAATATGATTATGAATCTTGAGTAAGACCTAGACTTAGCTCCAATCTAATTGAAGAACAAGAAACCATGAACCACCTTATCAAAATTGGACTAGAAGTACACAATAAATTAACTAAAAGAGATGGAAAGGAACCATGAGAGTTGAGGCACAGATGGATATCGAATCAAGTACAAAGTGTAATTATGAAAGTATTTATGGCCATGAAATTTGAGGGTCAAATTAACTGAATGAAACAAACTCAAAGTGGACCACTTTGTAAAGCAAAGATACTTGGCACATAGAAAGGAAGCTGGTCTACATAAGAAAAAAGGCCAAAAGAAAACAATTACATGCATGAGAGAGAGCCTATTTCACGTGAAAATGGAAGCATTCCATGCAAAGTGAGAAGTTCTTATTAATCCTTGCCATTTTACATCATCTAAACACTTCCAAGTCATGAAAATATACAAAACTTGAACCCTACAAGGCTGACCTATACAGCAACCAACCTTATAGATTCCAAATAAAGCAACAAATCCTACCTAAACACAAGCCTACCTCGCAAAGAACCTTACACCAACCAATTTCCTTGCTTAGAGACTAGGAGCACATGGACTTGGAGATAAAAAGGGAGTGTGGAATACTTTAAAAGGAAGGAGATAGAACAAGTGGAGGAGTGGAGAAGGGTATCAACAAAGAAACTTGCAAGAGCCATTACAAAAACCATGTAAGGGGGGAGTTTCAAATTATAAATTACGAAATACTATGCTAAATAGATTTTGCGGTAAGGGGAACCTTTAATCCTTCTTATTTGGTGATAAAATTTTGTGACCTTGGTTGACTACGTGAAAAATATGTTGTTTGATAAAGAAAAACCAAAAGAACCACTAAAAATAAGATTAAGTGTTTCTACAAAAAAAATTTCAATGAATAGTATATAAGTATTTTGAGGGGATTTTATTGATTAGTTTTCTTATTGTGTGTTATATTGATATTATTTTGATGAATATATGTTGTTACAACTTACATGACTTGAAGCTGTTTGAACAATCTCTTGAAATGTTTTACAAATTTCTGTGTTTTTTATGTTAAAAGTCGTGTTGTTTGCTATAAATATTTTAATAAGTGTATGATATGAGCTATAAACCTTTGACTTTCATGTATATGATATTAGTACAGTGTTGTTGATGAGAATCTTGACATATAATCATCATATGATTTTGGTTGCACCTAAAAAGGAATTTTTGCATAATTTTAAGAAAGTTTACAGTTTTGAGTGTATAAGGCTATTTTAATGTTATTTTGGTTCATATAGACTTGATGGAATTATTTTGGAATTAAATGATATTTTTGGTTGAATTTTTATGCAAACTTTAAGTGATTTTTTTTTGTGAAAACAAACTTTAAATAAAAAATGATAATGTAAATGGGATATTGTGAAAACAAACTTTTTTTTTATGACTTGGAAATAGATCTCCACTATGCATGAAATATAGACTATGTGGATGGGACTACTTAGCTAAATTTAGAATATTTAAGTTTAGAAAATTTTCCAAAGGAACTAAATAAAAACATGCCACATGAATAAGTTTCACTAACCTGCATAAAAAAGACCCACCTGATATACATTTGAAAAATTTTCAAGTATAGAAGTTGTGGCAGATTTTGATGATGCTTGCCTTAAAGATAACAAAGAATTGAATGTTGAGGATCTAGCCAAGATAAAGGGTTGACACGATATTGATGACTAGGATCGAGTCTTTAGTGTATAGGGTGCATAGGGACTACTCTTAGGACTTAATTTATTTTGGTTATGTAAATATTTATTCTAAGTTCTACAATTTTTTTATCAACAATTTGTAAATTATTATAATGTTCATATGTAAATGAAATTTAGTATCTGTATATTTCTCTAACTATTTC